TTTGTTGTTAATATCAGGTTTACCATATCTTATAGCATACAAACAAGCATTATTAAATATATCTTTAATATTAATATCAGAGCCAACAGAACTTCCGATTCGGAACTTACTCCGTTTACATAATTAATTAGTTTCTGTTTCGCAATATTTTCCGAATTGATTTTCGTTACGTGGAAATATTATATTAGTTATATTGAATTTATTTGTGTTCTATATATTTCTTATCTTATAGGAAGTTACATGCATTTTTTTACATAACCGAGGAGGTAATGCTTTTTGCATTCCCAAGCTACGGGGATATGTGGGACTCGACTCTCACCAGGCATCCGTTCTGATACTCGGAGAGCCGGGAGAGCAATAACCACTAAAACACTTATCGGATGTATACAGCCGCTTTCGCATTCTATACTGGTAGGATATGGGCATCCCTTATCCGTCGTCATACCCTTCCTGTCCCGTAGCACCCGCAGCACCTACCAATATCGAGCTGAGACATTCGAAATAAGCTTTAAAATTCCAGCAGCCGTTCAGTGTAAAACCTAAATATTTTGTTTTAAAACGAACGCCACATTTCAGCAGCCGCCGCACCTTTCAATAATAACTAGACGCTTTTCATGATAGTTGGCCACAAGGCGTTGAAGATAGTGGAAGACTTTATGATAACGCGGGGCCTCCAATATTAGCCTATTAGCTGTTAAAAGCTTAACATCATCCCTCTATTGCAAATCACACTTTTGGTAAACGCCTTAATTTAAATTAACAAAAATAATTTTTAGCGTTTTAATTGTAAAGGTTAAAAAAAATGTAAACTCGCGTAAATCGAAGACGGTAGTAGTAGAACATTAATTTAATAAAAACAATTTCACTGAACGCGTTGCCCTATATCTTATCTATTCACATTTATTCTGTTAAAGTTCATAATAGAGTTGAAAACTTGCACAATACGGAGATTGCGAGCAAACTAAGCAAGAAGCGAATGTAATGAAACATAATACAACTTTGTTAGGAACCTGATGAAAAGGTCTATCCTACTAGATAGAAATGTCTTTGAATACGTTTGAATTAGAAATTGTTTCGAAACAATGAAGAGTTATGCTGCCTCATAAGACGTCTTAGCCATCTTCCGGGAATGTATAGTAAGATTCTTCAATGACATAGTAGGCCAGTCATTATAGACATTCGAAATCGAAAATTTGATAATAATTCCAAAAGTTTTCAAACTTCGGTCAAGTGAATGGTACATTGGGACGACAATAAATCTCATTTTGCAACCTTGTCCGCAGTCCGGAACATTGTTAAAATTGCAATTAAATTAATTTTATGTCTGTATGGTCGTGAAAAAAATTCCAAAAGTTCTGCAAACTTGGGGAAGTTTTCGATATAATATTTCATATCACGTATAAAATTTGCAACCAACCTAAGTGTACGGAACATTTTTTGTTATTTATTTTATTTTCGATATATCTGTCAAATTTGCAGAACTTTTGGAACGTTTTCCTTCAGTTTAATAAAGAACAACATTAATTAAATAATGTTCCGTACACTTAAATTGGTTGCAAATTTGACACGTGATGTAAAATAATATATTTAACACCACTCCAACTTTGCAGAACTTTTGGAATTTTGGTCTCAAGAACTAAGCAAATTATCATTTATTGCATTTTTAACAATGTTCCGGACCGCAGAGCAGGTTGCAAAATTTTATAGTTTGTTTTAATACCACTCCCGACCTTACATCAAAATTTGAAAACTTTTGGAATTATTATGAATTAATTGTCTTGACTGACTGGTCTATAGTAAGCATATTATTATTTAGTGCAAGAAATGGCCAAGACAATCCAAACGTTTCATAAACTAAATACCCTACATGGGCAACGGCCTGGTTGTGTTTTTCTTGTTTTTAGGAAAAAATATAATCCTTAAGTATCCTTATAACCGAAATGAAGCAAGAGGCAAAAACATTTTTACGCCTGTTTGATATATTTTTTTCTTTTTTTATCGACTTCACACATCAAAATTATAACTACGGTATTCGATTGTTTTTTGCAAAATTTTCAAGAGTGAATCACTTTAGTAAAAATCAAAAAAAAAAAAAACAAAAATCAAAATCAAAATACGTTTATTCAATTTAGATGCTTCTTAGAGCATGCTTATGAATGTCAACAACGTTTACAAAATTCACGAAAGAGCAAGACTACGCCATCCGTTCGCAAAACTACCAGGAGGCCTTGTTCTGAGAAGAACGGGCAAGAAACTCAGCAAGTTTTGCCCTCCCTTTACATTACAATTATTCAAAGGAAAATGTCATAAACCACAACGTCATTAAAATTACATAAGTAAAAAAAATAAAAAATCTGTTCTGTGATTTACCACATTCACCATTACACACATATTCATAACACTTCAAAGATAACAAATCAAATTATAAGAATATAATTAGAACTATTGCCAAGCGTTTTTATCTTCCAGGTAGTCATTGACTGTGTAGTAACCTTTACACATTAAGGTTTTTTTGATGTGTGTTTTGAATCTGTTTAAAGGCAGTTCCAATATTTCACTAGGAATCTTGTTATAGCAGCGTATACTTAGGCCCATAAATGAAGTATTTATTTTCTGCAACCTGTAAGACGGCTGGAAAAGTTTTCCCTTATTTCTTGTATTCCTATTGTGAATGTCGCTATTCTTTAAAAGAGAACTAATATTACTACGCACAAAAACGATACAGTTGTAAATATATTGGGAAGGTACCGTCAAAATATCGATTTCCTTGAACAAATGAAATTATTATAAAATTAATAAAAATATTTGAAATTAAAAAATACTATGTTTTACGAGCTCAGCTACATACCAAAGTTTACATAAATAGAAAAATGTAAGCTAATCTCTATATATAATATACAATTCTCGTGTCACAATGTTCGTTCGTTCGCAGACTCCTCCTAAATGGCTCGACCGATTCTTATGAATATTTGTATGCATATTCAGTAAGTCTGAGTATCGGCTACTATCTTTCAAACCCCTAAGTGATAAGGGGTGTGTTCACCCAAAAAAAAAAATTTTTATTTCTTGGACAATTTTTTGTTTTTTTTGATACAGCATAAAAAATACATACATCCCTTAATTTTCACCCCTCTACGATCAACCCCATTTTTTTATTATAGTAGATAGTTATTTTTATTGAACTAAAAAAAATGTTTCCTAGAAATAAAACATGGCAAAACAACGTTTGCCGGGTCAGCTAGTATTTTATAAAAAATAAGTGCAAAATAACCATGAAAACAAAAATAAGGTAAGTTAAACAAAAGCCATGAAATAAAACATTTGTAAGTTATATACCATTAAAATAAGGGTCGCTATAATCTACACTAATTTATTTTCATTATGAACGAATTCAAAAACTACTGAACTGTTGAGTTATAATACAGCTTATATTATCCTACGACCGAATAACGCTGGTGCAACTACAAAGGAAAGCTAGTAATATAGTAAGGTATACTTTGACTTAACATTAAAATCATAAATCTTGTGTGAGACTAGGTCCTAGTTTTATACGGTATTTCAATATTCATTAAGTAAAGATAGTTCAAGAATCTGTGTACATGATATCGCTTTATATTCGCCTTTATATCGCCTTATATTCAATCCAGCCATGAGAATAAATACAATTTTATAACGCCCTTAATGTTCCGTTGGAACAAACTTCACGTCATGTACCTACTTCACTTTTCAAGAAAACGCAATATTCCAAAGAGTTTAAATATGTAAATACTGTATTTGTTTAAAAAAGTCATAACTAGACGAAGCTTTCCTCAAACGATCCGTCAAAATCCCTTTGATGCACACACCTTGGAAAAAGCAAGATTTTTCTTTGAGAAAAATGAAAAGTCTAAGTGGCCCATCTTAATACAGCACTGAATTCCCAAATATATTGCAGAGTACTGTGAGTGTTCTTTGTGTCAACGACCCGGGTCTAGAATCAGTTTTGATGGCTTGTTCTGAACTGAGTCGAGTGGAAAATTGCCGCGAGCGAAATGTCAACAATAGCGAGAGAAATTTTAAATAGCATAATAGTTGTTATATATTCTTAGCTTGGTATTGTTCGGGGTTAAGAAAACTTGAATTGGTTTTGACTTTATATAATCAGCAGACTTATTGTTGGTTAGACAAGAGGGCTTGATAAGGAACACTAACACATTTTATTTATTTTCTAGCTAGATAAATATAACGGCCATTTTATTTCTTAATAATAATGAAACAAGCTTCAGGTAGTAGGATTGAAACGCGTTTATAGTCTCGCAAATATCGGATTAAAATATAAATTATAAAACTGCTCCTAATTTGGCCCTACAACCTCTTTAGGTCTTGGCCTCAGATTTCTGAATCTGTTCCATGAACATTTTTAAATGTAACAGGCAAGTATTATAGCATATATATTATATACGTACATACATTTATGAAAGGCTAGCAACCATCTTCCTAACAAATTAAAAAGGAAAATAACAGGAAAAGGGAAAATAAATCGCATTGAATAAATCAGTGCGTACCCAAACATGCTATCAAAGTGGTCAGCGTAGTGGGAACAACATCTAGTTTCCGTTCGGTTTTAAATTCTTGATGAAAAAGCCATAAAGTGTTGATTGTGCGTTTCATTCCGGTCTAGGAATTCACTTTATGAGTTTTCCAATATTTAAAATACAGTAAAACAGATGCCGAATATGTCATCTATAAACTGGGATGTATTGGAATACAAAGTCAAATTTGGAATATCGAATCACTTCAAGTGAAATTTAAATGAAGAATACGGCAGGTGGCCGTTATGTTTAAGAATAGTAGAAGTACGAGGGGCGGTAAGTTGTTCGCGGAATGGCGGGGTTGGCGGGGGTGAGTTTACTCTTCCAGGTAGGCGCTAATTGAGTGACTGATTGTTAGTATATTTACCAATTTTCAGCCTCATGGGGTCAATATATTTTGATTTATCAACGAGGAAGAGAATAGCCACTATGGAAAAAATTGAACATCGCGCCGTAAAAAAGTTCCTTACCAAACAAGGGAAGACACCTCAAACCATCTTACAAGAGATGTTAGCTGTTTATGGGGACTCCGGTCCTGGTAAAATCATGATTTATAAATGGCACACCCTTTTCAAACAAGGAAGGGACTCCATCGAAGATGACCCCCGACCTGGACAGCCTATTGAGACCACGCCAGAAATAGTCGAACATTTTGACCGCCCCTAGTAGGTATGACGTGTTTATGATTTTTTAATGTTTAAACCAAAAACGCTGTATTTGTGAATTTGAAATAATCAATAATAATGGCGCTACAATCCTTATAAAGCCTCAGATATCAGTATCTGTATCATTGATATTTTTCCTTCTGTTATACGACCTGATATAATGTTTTTGTTCACCGTAAAAACCAGTGTTGATTTCGCAAATAGATGAAAAATATTGGGGGTTAAACAGAGGACCTCGTGGTCAAGAATAATTCAAAAACTATAATTAGTTCTTTGGCGCAACGAGATAAAAAGCTTGTCAAAAATTTTAGAAAAAGACACTACCAATAGAAAAAAATTAAAATGTTGATTATAGCTAACGTCCGGGTGTCGGTTTTTTGTGGCGGTGTGCGCGCGCATCGTAAAAATTTACTCTCATCATTTTCCCCTAACCCTTTAAGAAGTATATCTTCAAAAAGCCTTTTAATTCATACATTATAAAATAAATTAATAACAATTATTTGTTTATGTAGGTAATTTATAAGTCTTGTATTTTTACGAATAAAGTCCAAATTTTAGATTATTTATTCATGTCAAGCCTTTGATTGTAATGTTTTCCTTGCATGAACCACTCCTTGGAAGGTCCAGGCTGTGTCATCCCGTATTTTCAGTTTTTTCCAACCTTTCCACCTTTTGCTTTACCATCATCTCCCTTATTTTATAATAAAATTCAGACAATATTCATACAATTATCAACTTAAGTGACTTTCATCTTCATATTTATTAGGAAACTTTGTTGCTGGGGCACGTCGTGCATGTATGGTAGATTTATTATCAGTTATGTAAGCGTAATTTGAATTTGCCACGTTACAATCTATTACGAGGGGGTGACTATCCTGTTTACATCCGACACCCTGAATGCGATAAAGCATTTAAGAATGACTCGCGACATTTATGGCAAAACTTTTCCGTTAGTCGTATTTTGCTATTGTTTTCCAGATTTTAACATTAAAGACTGTTTAAGGTGCAATGGATAGTAACTAGAAATAATATGTGCGTTTTACAATGAATTGCTAGTTTATGCAGATCCTGAAAATAGATAAATTTATTAGTATTAATGTTTTTAATACAATTTTGATACAGCTCTCAGTCTCGACTTTGAATCTGAGGTTACCCAAAAATAAACACGTGTATCAGACGCGCAAGATATGATATAAGACCTGAGAACGCTAATAGTGCTGTAAAAAATTATTTACCATTCTTTATTTATTGTATAAGTACGTAAATAATGATGGTATTAGCACTACAAACAGGTTAATATGTTGCATATACTATGTAATTTAATATTAAAACATTGGACTGGATATATTATATATAAAGAATATTTACAAATATCAATGGTTCTCTGAATTCTCTATTTTATTTATGCGTTACTATATTTATTTCTTATTTTCTACCATTACATTAACACTAATTTGATAGCATAGAAAAAAATAACCTTCACCTTTCCATTTCTGAATTCTTTCAGTGTTAAACTGAATATGTCGATACAATTATAATTTGTTCCAAATTCAAAAAATTCAAATTTAGAATAATTTCTATAAAAGCTCACATAGCGGAGGCATAACTCACGAAGGATTGAAATAATCTGACGTTTTCACGGTTTGTGCCATTAGCGCGCGTTTGACCCCTTTCTTATGACGAATAACGCGGAAATATAATCCAACTACCCTCATTTCATTTCGGAATTGACTATGTTATGTGGGTCCTCGATTTATTACTGTTTGGATTTTATTCAGATTCTGGTTGCTCATATAGTGTATTCCAGGGATTTACAACTGTTATATATATGAACATTCAGTACTATTAAGGTTATGAGTATTTAATTCTAATCAACATTATTTAATACGCGAACTTTCCCTAAAGCCAATTCCTATAAATTATAACAATAAAATTATTTCCCAAGTAAGCTGCTGATATTTCGGAATGAAAATCTTATCACCCCAGAATCGTATTGCTATTTTTTTAATTAGTTTTAGTAATATTCACACACATTAAAAAAGTACAGGTTAATTTTTATTAATAATTGGATTATGTAAAGAATGATATGATTTTACGACTAAAATTAGAAACGGTAACATAATGTAGATGATTATACAAAACAAAATTTGTAGTAAAGCGTAAGAAAAGACGATGTCGTGTACGAATTCCATAAGGGGTGAAATTCAATGAGAGGGTTAGCGAAATGTAACACGGAAACGACGTCACTTTGTCAATCTGTCTCTAGAAAGGAAAATTCGAGGCATTTTCAGTGCCTATAAATTTTACGTCCCAGTTCCCTTTTAATATAAATAACATAAATCAACACATATTTTAATTAAATTATTGCATATTGGACAAAAAAGAATTAAAAAAAATATGGTTGGAAACACTAAAAAATACTCAAGAACATGTGAAAGCCTGCTTCATTTCCCTTTGAAAATTGCGTTGCCCATTTCTCAATTAAAACACGTACTCCCTACACAATTGCTTTAGGCTAAGTCCGCAAACTTTCTAATTATTTTTTTTTCAAAGGGGTCTAGATAGGATCAAAAGAGCTTCACAAAAGTCAACAAGCAATTACAAAGGGCAACTGTGAATACAGCTGCAATTTACTCTAAGCGACCTTTTCTTCTCGCAATACATAATTACCTTGTAAACATTTTTTTATACGGCATCATCCGACACCTAACATTTTCACAAATTAAAGTCACACAAGGTCACAATTTCACTTTTTACTGTCAGAGGAATAATAGAATCGTCTTTCGATTTTCAAATTTTCGAGCGTGGGTTGAAATTTCGCAATTGATCGTACTTAGGAGCTGAAAGAACTGCCCCCAACCGTAGCTATGGCGCGACTGAAGTCATAAACGCGTTACGTACGTACGCCGTTACGCGATACGTAACATGAACCTAATTTCACTGTAGGGGTTTAATATCGGTGGCTGGATTTCGCCCTTAGATGATAATACCTTTCCCATGTGGAAGATGGCGCTTTGCACATTTATCTTTTAACAAATAAATTTTGTTAAAAAAAATGTAAGGTTAGGTAAAATTTACAAAACTTTGTCTTAAAAGAGCTTAATAAGAACTTTGCTGTTACTTAACGCGCGACGATTAAATTATAATAGCTAAAGAATAGATTTATTAAAATAATATTTTTAATTTAAAAAGAGAAAGATATTTTTATAAACTATTTTAATGATATGAACTACAGAACACTGATTGATATTCAAATTTAAGATACTAAAAAAAACATGAAGTTTAAAAAAAAATAAACTCATTATTTTTATGGCAAAACAAGGCAAGGCAAGCAATAATTAAGAATTAGACACCTTTTGTTGTTACGGGGTGCCCTTTGGAATGCAAATTGAGATCGTTTTTCACGTTTTGTTTGAAAATTGTTCTCTTTGGTAGTATTTAATGACTTTTGATTCCGAGCCCCGTTAAATTTGAATAAGAGAAAACGTTATTATAAACTAAATTAAAACATTTTCATTGGTGAAAATATTTAAGGCGTTCATAATAATATTAAAGGGAAATGAGTTAATTCAGAGTGTATTAATCACTGTATAAACTTTAATAAACAATACATACAATATTTAATACACACAATATCTTAATTCTGACATGTTTTTTAGATCGTAAATTTAAAAAATATAGAACAGTGTTGGCCTAGTGGCTTCAGCGTGCGACTTTCGTGCCTGAGGTCGTAGGTTCGTTCCCTGGCTGTGTACCAATGGGCTCTCTTTCTGTGCGCCTTTGGCATTCGCTCGAACGGTGAAGGATAATATCGTGAGGAATACGACAAGTCTTATACCGAAAAAGTCGACGGCGTGTGTCAGGCACAGGAGGCTGCTTGCCTATTAGATTGAAAAATTATCATGAAACAAATTAAGAAATCTGAGGCCCAGACCTAAAGAGGTTGTAGCGCCACTGATTTTGACAGAATTTTAACAATATCTTAAATTATAATGCGAAACTGATTTTAGTTTACACGTTTCTATATAATGCAAACTTATTCTGATTTAGATTCTGATTTAGACGGAGACATTTGATATCATACAAATTAAGGCTATCACTAATAAAGTGTATAGTTATAACTAGTTGTGTTTTCCCTTGCGTGAAATTCGTAGCGCAATGTTTAATGTAAGCTTTTCTCGACAGATAGACTGACTTCCTTACACAGGTAATTTGTTATTCCATTCGATTTAAATGATTGGTTTGTAAGATAAGGGCGTTTTACAAAATTCAGGTTTACATTATTAAGCATAGATATAACACATTTACTGAATAATACAAACAAAAATCTCAGCGCCTCGAAATCGTGCAATTTATAAAGATCCCGTCCTGAAAAATAGCGAGAAAATAGTAGAGATAAAGTGACGAAGCTACGAACACAGACAGCCTTTTAAAGCGCCGGAAATACTTTGAAATGTGAAGTTATTTGCACTTTGAGTACTACTTACCACTGAACGTCAAAAATGAGCGCGCATTTGAGTACTGGCTTTGATTGATGAGTGGTCATAGAGTTCGATTGTGTCAGAGCCCATAATGCATTGATAAGCTTAATGCTAATCACACTCAGTTCACCTATACCCGTAGAAAAAAAATGTTAATATCTACCAGTATGGCGCATTAACATTATGCTAGCATCAGTTCCTTTTTTGAGCTCTTTTTTCATGTTACAGGAGGCAAACGGGCAGGAGGCTCACCTGATGTTAAGTGATACCGCCGCCCATGGACACTCACACTGCCAAAAGGCTCGCAAGCGTGCTGCCGGTCTGCTGCGCTGCTCTTTACTTTCAGATCGTAGTTTTTAAGGCTTGGCAGTTCTTGTCGATAGGATAGTTATTGAAGTTCAGGTCTGACACGGTTAAGCCACCTTATTTTCAAAAGCTTCATCATGTCAAGCCTATCGTAGCCCTACCTAGCAGTATTATTAGTTTGAGCTCCCTATATAATATGTTGTGTGGGCCTGGG